ATTCGCAACAAAGCTTGTATGTAAACTTTTTGTACTCACACAGTAAGGCGCAGATGGAGGAAGTGAACGGAACAAGAAAGGCTTCATTCATTTAATTTCTGCTTAATCTCCGAAAAAGAGCCTTATTAAATCGTTCCCTGGGTTTCCGATCAGATTGAGGTAGAGAATCCAATTAATTCCCCCACCAGAAAACAAGTCCTCTCGCTAATTCGCTAAAAATCAGACTAGCTGTTTGGTTCACTGGTCAGTTATAAAAAAAAATCGGACCTAATTATCGATCCGGAAGCTCTTCGCTTGACGTCGGGCCTGTGGCCCGGCTCGCGAGTTGGAGAAGAGACTTTGGCTGGGCCTCTGCTAATTTATGGTTGGTCGCTTGACACCTAGCCTGCAGCTTGGATCACGAATTACCCTTGAAGAAATATCCGAAAAAGATACTTCAAATTGGCTCGTTTCTGTAATCAGAGCCCAGATCATTTATTGGCTTATCCCTGTGAGCAGGGCCCTGATCATTTACTGGCTCATTCCTGCAATCAGAGTCCAGTTCATCTATTGGTTCGTTTCTGTAATCAGAGCCCTGATCATTTATTGGCCTGTCTCTTATACACATCTAGATGTGTATAAGAGACAGCTAAGAGCCCATATCATTTATTCGCTCATCCGTGTGAACAAGGCCCTGATCATTTATTGGCTCATTCCTGCAATCAGAGTCCAGTTCATCTATTGGCTCGTTTCTGTAATCAGAGCCCATATCATTTATTGACTCATCCCTGTAAACAGAGCCATGATAATTTATTGGCTCACTCCTGTAAACAGAGCCCCGAACACTTATCGGCTCATTCCTATAATCAGAGCCGAGTTCATCTATTGGCTGGTTCCCGTAATCAGAGTCCAGTTCAGCCTCTGGCTCTTTCCCATAATCGGATACCACATTGGTGATTGTCCAACAGCCACCAATACCCTCGTTCTATTTGAATCGGTGCTACTATGAAAAATTCAAAATCGGCCACGAATGAAGATAGGCGTTCTCAAACTGATCGTGCTTGCCTGTTGGCCGACGAGCTTGCTGGTTAGTTTGCCGATAAAGAGGAGTGGGAGCCAGTTCAACCCCTAGATCGGTTTCGCAGGGAAAGGTTTCTGACATGGTATGATCTGGACAAACGCTTGGCCCTCAGGAACACATCTGAATCAGTCCACTGATTGAACCTCCATTACTGTATTCCTGTTTATCCTTATATATATATATATATATATATATATATTTGACGATATATATATATAAAATCCCTCCTTTCACTCTTGCTCGCGATCGTCGATTACATACAGCACTCCCCTCGATATAAAAGGGTTGGTGATGCACCTTTGACTGAAACTTTGGTCGGTCTGGTATCTTCGAAAATCGATTATATTGTGAAATTCAAAAAGTTGTTGTTTGAATTCATTGATGAAATTTTGCATTGACAGTGATTCCGCCTCAAATCAGAAAGGCATCATTCTCAACATATAGATCGGGGGTGTGACAGGCAGCTCAAACCCCGAGATCCTGCTGGTCGCTGAGGACCTCGGAAGCGGGCGCAGCGAGTGACAGGCGTTGTAGCCCTTGGCTTCAACGAGCAGCCAATTGGAAGAGCCAATAGTGAGTACTCTGATAGATAATCGTGATATGAGAATAGATGAATATGTCGAGGGGGTTAAGGCATACTTCCGGTTGGAGGGGGAGAAGAAGGTAGAACGCTTTCGGCATTCTCTAACTCTCTTAGTGGAGAACAATCTACCCTTTGACCTAGGATCTTTCATGACTATTTGGATAAGTTTATCGTCATGTACCTCGATGACATTCTTATCTTCAGTAGGACTGTCGAGGAGCATGCCCAGCATGTAGACAAAGTTTTCTTTCTCCTCCGGCAACACAAGTATAAGATCAATTTAGAGAAATGCGAGTTCGGTCGCACTAAAATCTTGTACTTGGGTCATGAGGTATGCGCGGAAGGGATTAGGCCTGAAGATGCGAAGGTGGCTAGCATTAGGGACTGGCCACGACCCCAGTCTGTGACTGAGGTCAGATCTTTCTTGGGGATGTGCGATTATTAGCGCAACTTTGTACAAAACTACAGTACGATTGCATCTCCCATGGCTGATCTAACGCGCCTTGACACTCCATGGGAATGGACAGACACATATGAGGCTGCTTTCAAGAGATTGACGCATGCCCTCACACATCATGAGGTTCTCATGGTTCCCGATCCTCAAAGGCCATTCGTAGTGACCACTGACACAAGCCAGTACGACATAGGCGCAGTTTTGGCTCAGCAGGAAGGGAAAACGTTAAGGGCGATCGAGTACATGAGCAATAAAATGCCATCTAAGAAATTGGCGAAGTCCACCTATGAAAGGGAACTCTACGCCCTTTACAAAGCACTTGTCCACTGGAGACATTATCTGTTGGGATGGTTCTTCTATTTGAGGACCGACCATCAGACACTCAAGTGGACCAAGACATAACTTGTTCTCTCTGACGCACTCAGACATTGGATTGAAGTCATAGACCAGTATGACTTCAAGCTAGACTACGTGAAAGGAGAGTATAACAAGGTTGCCGATGCATTGTCACGTAAGGCAGACTACCTGGGTGCGCTGATAACTGAGTTTGGCTTATCGGACGATGTCACTTGATCCTTGGTGGAGGCCTACAAGGAAGATCCTGTCACGATGGACATCATTCGTAAACTCGAGGACCAAGGCAAGGCCACATCTGATGAGTTTGTGATGGTGGATGGGTGGCTCTTTCTTGAGAAGGCAGAATTTAAAAGGTTAGTGGTTCCATCTAGGGAGATTTTGCGTAGTTTATTTTTAGGTGAGTGCCATGACGCGACAAGTCATTTCGGCTACAAGAAGACTTCTGCTAACTTAGTACAACGCTTTTGGAGGCCTAACATGATTGGCGATGCAAAGACATACATGCAAACTTGCCAAGTCTGTCAGCGGGACAAGCCGCGGACTCAAGCCCCGCTTGGGTTATTGAAGCCCCTCCCCCTTCCTGCTGGTCCGAGACAGAGTGTTTCCATGGATTTCATGGATACCCTCATGACTGGCATGAATGGCAAAAAGGCATATCTTCGTCATAGTGGATAGGTTCACTAAGTACGCTAGACTAATCTCCATGCCAGAGACTGCCAGGACTGAGCGCGCCATCAAGTTGTTCATGGACAACTGGGGGCGTGACTTTGGATTGTCGAAGACCATCGTTAGTATCGAGATGCCCGATTTACCAGCGAGATGTGGAAGAAGGCCGTTGAACAGATGGGTAGCCAGCTCCAGATGACTTCTAGGAATCATCCCGAAGCAAATGGGCAGGCTGAATAGATGAATCGTGTGCTGCAGCATCTGCTGAGGCATTACATCAAGCCCAGCCACGATGAGTGGGATGAAAAACTACCTCTCATCGCCAGCCTGTACAACAATGTTGTACACAACACCACCGACGTCAGTCCTAATCAGCTGCATCTGTGATGGAAGCCTAGATCTACAACTCCTGGAACCATCGAATTTTGTGTCCAATATGAGAAATTGTTGAAACAGACTGTCGAACACATCAGGAAATCTCAGGTAGTCATGATTGCTTCTAAGAACAAGCATCGCCGACAGCCCACATTTCAGGTAGGGGAACGTGTCCGGGTTAAGGCTAGTGAGTTGGCACAAGAATTCGACATCTCTAGAAAACTAATGCCTCAGTATTTCGGTCCCTGGGAAGTCTTAGACATTGTGGGTAATAGTTTGGATGGTCCCTCGCACCTTTCACTAAGACAGAACAATTCCCATCACTGAGATCTATGCTGCCCCCAACCATGGATGGCCACGTGGACGTCGACGATATTCTAGAGCACAGAGACATGCCTGTTCCCAAGCCAGCTGGCAGGGGTAGACTGCCTTAACCTGCAAGAGAATACAGGGTATGGTTCAGGCATCATACAGATCCTAAGGAAGATCGATGGCTTACACAGGAGGAACTTGTGAAGACAGCTCCTCAGATTGTGGCCAAGTATGAGAAGAAACTGAAGGGGAAGGCACCAGCATGAAGCATCTCAGCGGACGCCAAGTATGAGAAGAAACTGAAGGGGAAGGCACCAGCATGAAGCATCTCAGCAGACTTTCGAAGCTAAGGGGGATGGAATGCGAGGAACGAGCCCTCACGGGGCCCTTATCAGACATACACATGTTCTGAGCAGAAGCCCCCAGCCAGTCGAATGCCCGCCCTAAGTGAAGGTGGGCCTGAATATTCATCAGAGGCCAAAATTCAACATTTTCATATGTGGGTACTCAGGCTGTTGCAGCCCACCGGTTGGTTGAGTGGACGTGTGAGCCTCACTAAGCTGGGTCATACAGTTGGCCCAGGCCTTGGCAGTTGCGCCTGGGCACATTCACACAATGCAAGGCCGATACATCACGAAGTGGCCACAGGCCTATGCAAATGCAGCACTGTCGACATACCTACCCCGGGTCCTGTGCAAATGCAACAAACGACATGGTATCGGTTTCCTTCCAAACCATGTTGCAGGCTAGTCCTAGACTACTAAAGGGCCTAAGACAGCTGCTAACAAGGCAAAGGTGGAAGTAGCGGAGGAACCGGATGTACGCGAAGAAGGCAAGGAAAAGGAGCCACCGCAGGAAGTGGCAAACCTTCAGAGGGCCCCCGGGGATCTGGAAGATCTAGAGAAGGCCTTCGCAGACATCCGGCTAAGTCTGCCAGACCGGGAAGGCGGAGAAGTCATGAGGGCATTCGCCTGGCATGAAACTGAGTTTCCATGCGCTACCGGTAGGGAAACTGAAAGTCCAGATTGGCACCCACCATACGGATGCACTGGTAGATGGCGGGGCAGAAATCACACTCATTCGCAAGGACTTTGCAACAATTGCTGGGTACCCAATTAACCGGGAGGTCACGGGGAGTGTCCGGGGAGCAGGTGGGGAAATCCCCTTTTCCGGCTATGTTACCAAGTGCGCAGTTAAAGCCGGGGTTAGAGAGTCTATATGGTCGTTCCAACGAATGACCGTCATGGACGAAATGRACCATGACGTGATCCTCGGGCGCCCGTGGTRTGCGAACGTASARATGATCGGGATGCATCTGCACGACGGCGCCTACATGGYAGACATAGAGGACCCGGTGACAGGACGAGGCGAGCTGCTTCGCCTTATGGGAACCGGGGGAGACACGCCAAAAGGGAAGCTCGCAACCTGGTCACCCTCCTTTGAGGAGAGCGCTAGAAAGGGGGCTTTCGCACGCATGGAAGGGATGAGAGAGAGGGTGGAAATTATGATCGAAGAGGCCTTTAGTAAGAAAGAATGGGTCAAGATGGGACTCCCGATGAAGAAACCTAGGGTAGACGAAGACGCCCTGGGAGTCATGGTAGTAGAGAAGGAAACAAAGGTGGAATTGGGAGCCAGTTTGCCCAAGCACGGGGAGATCCGGGATAAGAAGGATAAGGTCACACTAGAAATCTCGGACTTACTGCAACTTGTCAAAGCAATCAGGTACCACAAAGTGGCCGTTGACTCGGCCGCCCTCGCCCGCTTTGAGGAGAGGGTCCAAAAAGGCTATTGCCTAAATGGGGAGCTGGTCAGTATTCAGCCCCGCATTGTGGAAGCCCCGCAAGCAACTCCGACCATTCATTTTTTAGAAGAAAGATCCCGGAAGGAAGCGTTCGGAGGTATAAGCCCGTAGGAAAGAAGGCGAAGCCGGACTCCATCCTACTCGAGATGACTAAGGAGGAGGCCATGGAAAAGGAGGAGGAGGTTCTTCGGGTAATTAGAGAAAGGAGGGTGGCAGAAGGACATAGGATACCGGATGAGGTGGCCCAAACCATGAAGATCGGAGTAAAGGGTTTTCTGACGGAGCAAGAAACACAGGCAATCAAAGAAGTATGCCAAGAATCTCACCTAGCATTCGCTTTCAATGACCATCAGGAAGGGCGCCTGGACGCTAAGTTGATCCCACCAGTCAGGATCCACACGGTCGAGCATGAGTGTTGGAATGACAAGGGACCGGCCTACGACTTTGGGATCGTAGGAGAAGTGACGGAGCTCCTTAGGGCAAAAATGGACTCCTTCGTGGTAGAACCCACCGCGTCTCCTTATGCCAACAAGTGGTTTGTATTCCGCAAGCCCAACAAGTCACTTAGGTGGATTCAGGACCTGCAAAAGTTAAATGCTGTCACCATCCGGGATGCGGGATCGTTGCCGCAGGCAGATTTCCTGGCCGAATCCCATGCCGGATGCAGTATTTACTCCTTGATAGATCTGTACTCAGGATACGACCAGCTCCCGTTGGACGCACGAGATAGGCCCTACACGGCTATGCATACGCCAGTAGGACAGTTGCAGATGCAGGTCATGCCTATGGGATTTACTAATGCGGTAGCAGAGGCACAGAGGAGGATGCTCGCGGTGGTCGGGGACATGTTCCCAGACAAATGTGAGCCCTACATTGACGACAACCCTGTCAAAGGAGCACGGGAGAAGGATGAGACCGAAGTCCAGCCGGGGATAAGAAAGTTTGTTTGGGACCACCTGCAGGATATTAGAGAGCTGCTGCGAAGATTCCTAGAATACAACATAACCGCTAGCGGTCCGAAGAGTATCCTGGCAGTTCCAGAAGTCACAATTTTGGGATTTCGTTGTGGGGCCTATAGAAGGAAGCCGGATCCGGCTAAGACCGATAAGATAGCATAGTGGCCTACGCCCCTTCGAACTACAACAAAAGTCATGGCATTCCTGGGGGTGGTAGGCTTGTGGAGAATCTTCATAAAAGGGTTCGCAAAGATAGCGGAACCGATTCGAGCCATGATCTGTGAAGAAGGCACGCTCGATTGGACTGAGCAAAGGGAATCGGCCGTCCAGACCCTGAAAAATATTCTCACATCCGAAGAAGTCACCCTTGCCGCTCCGTGTTTCAACGACGAGGTCGGTCGACCTTTCATCCTTGAGACAGATGGAGGACCAATGGCAGTCGGCGGGGTGCTAATTCAAAAAGGCGAAGACGGTAGAGAGCGACCGATCAGATTTGAGAGTAGGACGCTCAATTCGGCAGAGCGGCGCTACTCTCAGTTCAAGAAGGAGGTACTTGCGATACTGCATTGCCTCAAGACTTTTCAGGCTTACCTCTTCGGAAGGAGGTTTATCCTGAGGATAGACCCAACCAATGTCGCCGGGGCCCTGAAGAACTATAAGCCTATAGACCCGACTGTTGGAAGATGGGTAGGATTTATCTAGCAGTTCGATTATAAGATTGAGCACATAGCCGACCTTAGGAATCGAGCAGAAGGACTGAGCAGGGTGGCTCTCACACCCGAAGGGCTAGAAAAGGCAGAGCCGATCGACGCGTTCCTCGACTACGAGGGCGGGACGCTGGTAGTAGACAGCGAGATGGCCGGAACCACTTGCACAACTGGGGAGCTATTGATCAAAGCACTCGAAAAGGGGCCTCCGACAGTGGTTGCCGAGTTAAGGGAAGGAACGGTCACCAGAGTTGGAAGGAGGGAAGAGAAGGACGCCTTAGGCAGTGTTGTGAAGCCCCGGGATGAACAAATTGCACTAGCCATTGAGGGAGGCTGGAGAAGGGTTATGAGCATGATGAAGTCTCAGAAGCCGGAGATGCAGCACTATCAGGCCTATCAGGTGGATAATAATCAGACGGGTACTCAGGAAGAAGAGCAGTTCTTCCTCATCAAGTCATATGAAGGTTTGTTCAGAGAAATTGGGTTGCTACTGGTGGGAAACAAGGAACCCCACGAGGTTAGTCCTAAAGCTAGGGAGGAAGCGGATAGGTATGTGCTTAGAAGGGGGCACCTATTCCGAAAGGAGGAAGGCCTGACGCCCAGGAGAGTAGTCTGTGGAAGGTTGCGACAACTCGACATTATTCAGGCCATGCATGACGGATTGGCCGGTGGCCATCGCTCATCCAAAGGGACCCTAGCCAAGATAACGCCGCTCTATTATTGGCCGGGAATGGCATCGATGGTAGCCACGTACTGCCAGACCTGCAAAATCTGCCAGGAACGAAGCACGGTCTGTATTTTCGAGCCACTTAGACCCACCCGCGTGCTGGGGCCAGGGCATATGGTACATCTCGACCTGGCAGTCATGCCGATTTCCAGAAAAGGGTACAGGTACATAAATGACGCAAGGGATAACCTTAGTGGGTTTGTCGAGGCAACCGCGCTCAAGAAGAAAACTGGGTTTGCAGTTGCAGACTGGGTGGAGGACTTTTATCTGAGGCACCCGTTCATCAGGAGATTCATAGCCGACAATGGGACTGAGTTTGTGAACGAGGACGTCCTGAATACCTGCAAGAGGCTTGGCGTACCGATCAAATTGACAGAACCATACCACCCTGAGGCCAAAGCGCCAGTCGAGCGAGGGCACCAAACGCTTAAGAACACGATTGCAAAGTTGGCAGCAGATGACCTTGGGAACTGGCCGGACTATCTCAGACACGCGGTATTTGCTGAGAATATGACACCAAAAAGGACGACGGGATGCATCCCGGTAGAGCTATGGTATGGCAGGGAGATTGACTTTCCGGTAGAGGCCCTAGTACCCACCTGGAACAAATTGGAAGATGACCCTCATCTGACTACGGAACAATTGATTGAGGCAAGGTGTGAACAAGCGGCCAGGAACAAGGAAGCCTTGGAAGAAATAACTCACAAGGTACTAGACAGTCGCATGAAGGACAAAACCAGGTGGGACCAGTTGAAGAACATCCGGAAGGAGCCTTTGCAGGTCGGGGAGATGGTCCTAGTCAGAAATTCGGGACTAGAAACTACATGGTCAGGCCAGTTGGGGCGGCGATTCAAGGGACCTTACCGTATTGCAAGAAAATTGGGTGTGAGCACGTTTGAGATTGAGAACCTAGATGGGATCACTATAAGGGGGTCAGTCCCTGCGCAACGACTGGTCAGGTTTCTCACTAGGGATCTGGTGGAACAATGGCTGCAAGAAGCCCAGGATTAGGAGGCGGAAGACTAAGGCCGCTCAGGACAGTGGCAAGAGGCCTACTTATCGCTTGTGCTTCTGGTTGTTGTCTTTTGTTTTTTGTGTGTTTCTTTCCTTTTGACGGCCTGGGTGTGCACGAGTCGCATGGGAAAACGTGCGATTCGGCGGGGGKTTTCTGCATCATAGTTTTTGTGGGATACTGGGATGAGCAATGGGGGATGGGACATTGTACCATAAGACATGGCATTGGAGGGGCGTTGGGAAAAGGGGGCGAGGTGGTCGGCTGTTCCTCCTTTTTTTTCTTCTTCATGCCTTTCTGCTTCCATGGGAGCGACCGGGATTCGGGGACACGTGTGGGCAGAGCCTGGGATGAGTGTCACAAGGGAATGGGTTGGGGCCTTCTCATGTCTTGTGTCCTAACTTTCAGGTATAGAAGTCAGGCGGACCAAGATGGCACCCAACAACGAGAACAATATTAATCAAGCAAACATCAATGTTGAGGACCCATGGCGGCAACCAGAGAGGCCGCAAAACAGAAACAGACCAGTGCTCGTGATAGAACTGCAACCCCGGCCCCCTGTGAGGACGGGAAAAAGGAAGATGCGAGCCTGTAGACCCTCCCCTACAAAAAAGGGCGATGTGCTCCCAGCCTGGTCAGAGGATGAGAGTGAGCAAGAACGGGAGGAAAGGAGGGAAGAAAAAGGGACAGAGGACCAGCACAAGGAAGAACCTGGGCAGGGAAGCCGGGAAGACGCTAAGGGATCCACAGAAGATGACAGTGAGACAGGGGAGGACATTCCGGAGATTGTAATTGTAAGTAGCGATAACGAGGTGGATAGGGTCTCAAGGCCCAGACCAGAAGGGCAGGCATCAACAAGCAGAGCGTCAGAGGAGGTCCGTGATTGGGAGGAGGTATTCGGCCCCACACCCAGTCATTGGTTCGAGGTGTGGGCCAGCACTTTCAGACATGACTAGATTATTATAGCCCGTAGCCTCATGGCGGCTGGGGAGAGGGTCACGCCAACGGACTTTTCCTCAAAAGAAACATTACATGATATGAAGGCAACATTGGACGAGATACGGACCTACGAGCTGGGGGTGGCGCCGCCACCAAAGACAGAGGAGGGCAGGGGCGCGAAGCGCCAAAGAACGGACCAGGATACGGGGAATTAAGGGTTGGCAAACTGGGGTCGGATGGCACGGTTTGGATGTAAAATAGGGGCGCTGGGACTCGACAAACCAATCGGGGAGAAAGGCGGGGGTTGTATTTTGTTAAGTGGCTTCCTAGAAACAGAGTTAGTCAAGGCAAGGATGTGGGACTTTGTGTGAAACGATGCCTGTTGACCTGAAACTTGCCAAAAGACATGAGGGTAAGCTGGGAGATGCAGGGAGGAAGAACTTTTTGAGTATCAGCTACCTTTTTTGAGTTTGGCAAAGACGAAGGAGAGTGTGATTGGGGAATTCGAACATAAGGGGGTTCTCTCTTTGCTATTTAAACAATCTGTAATTCGGTTTTTGTCTTCTCAACAAATTGTGATACTAGTTGGATTGGAAGGACTTGGGCCGGGCTACAGACACAGTGAGTCTCTTAGAATGTACGGTCACATTTGTGAATGACGATGGTGTCCTGTTAAGAGAGGTTAGGGAACCTACGGGTAGAACGACACGACAATGCTTTCCCCTAGGAGCCTAATCCGACGGAGTCCAGTCCTCAACATCAATATGCATGAGACCTGCAGCTATGAATGAACGACCGGGCGGGCTAGCATTGCTAAAGGCTGGGTGAATCCCGCCGCGAGCTAGACGCTAAGTCGGATGTATGAGAAAGATAAAGAAAAGTGGAGCAAGAAAATGCATAGCACGCTAAAACTAATGGCCACCACCTACCCCCCCCAACTGACAATCGGATCCGAGCCTCCCTCAGCCCACCCCCTCGGGCGCTTGTATTGAGAAGGGAATGGAAATAGGAATGGCCCTAACCAGGCTATTCAAGTATGAGTATGGAATGAAAATAGGAATGACCCTAACCAGGTTGTTCAAAGCTCGAGATTGGGAAAGAAGAACGATCCTAACCAGGTTGTTCGGAATGGCCCCTGACAAGGGTCATTCTTTGGAATTGGCACTGGGRTCCCCTTGCATGACTGCTTGAGACGCATGATATTCAAAGAGTTGAACCTTGGAAAAAGRACATTGGAAAGACTGAGCTTGGAAAAGAGATTGGACTCAGCCTTGGAAAGGATATTGGACTCAGCCTTGGAAAGGACACTGGACTCAGCCTTGGAAGAGATAATCGCATCAAGCATTGGACTSAGATTGAGCATCGGAATGAGACTKAGCATTGGAATTGGATTGAGTATTGGAAATTGCATTGCATAAACAGGGGACCCTAGGCGACTTGAAATGGACTTGGAAATGGCATTGAAATGGATTTCTCTTTTCTTCTAGTCTTTGGCCTCAGCGAGAGGGGGATACGGGTGCACGCACCGCGACCCCAAGACCTCTATCCCTTTGAGGGAAAAAGTCTCAGCGCGACCTGCTCCTCCTTTAAGAGGATGAGGGTTAAAGGACTAAGGCACCTACCACTTCGATCGGTGCGGGACATCCGGAACTGACCCTGACAATGAGCTCTAGTCGGGGAGTTCAAATTGCGCCTCCTGTGGAATGCCTAAACCTCAAAGGGCGAGAGAGCCAAATGGGCAAGGAAGCCATTCTCATCTAGTCTATTTTGTTCTCTCCAACCACACGCCATGTCATAGAGGGGTGCCATGGTCGTTTGGGTCGGACCTCGGCTGCCCGCACTAAGTTGAGTGGCACTGTCCAAGGGGAGGGGCTTGGCGGAGTACCGGGTGGAGTCCGCGGCCACCACGGGGCATTGACACTGCCTTGCCGGAGCATTACAACCGTTTCGGGACTAATTGCGAGGTCTTCGTAACTGCACTCGCGAACTAATTGAGAGCCCCAACTCTCTTGGATTGGAGGAGGCCGGATTCGCGAAAACATACCACTTTGGGAGGAACGATTCGCGAGGGAGCCACTCTCGGGCAGGATGGGGTCCTGGGAGATAGGGACTTAGACCTGTCTCACGGCTGCGAGGAGGCACCTCAATGATGATGCCTATCTCCGAGTTGGTGGCCGCGAGACTAGGGTAGGGGATGCGGTGAGTTATCAACAAGGGGAGGACTGATCACCCTTCCTCTTGCTGATGGGCCGGCATCCGCTTACTCAGTCGGCAGGCAAGGTCTGCGTACCTCCAAGTGAGAACCTATAACGCGATGGGGACATCGCGATTGAGTGGGGGGAAGGTGTGCCATGTACCTAAGGACAAAGCGTGCAAGGAAGTAAAAGACCCAGGGAAAGACGGACAAGAAAATTGCATTGGACTTGGCTGAGCTGAGCCATAAAGGTGCCTGGCCAGATGGATTGTGAGAATTGCATTGGACTCAGCTGAATTGGGCCATAAAGGTGCCTGGTCAGACGATTGTGAGAATTGCATTGGACTTGGCTGAGCTGGGCCATAAAGGAGGCCGGTCATATGGAGGGTGAAAATTGCCTTTGGTCGTGGTTGAGCCGGGTCACAAAAGAGCCGCCGAGGGGAAATAAAGAAAACAAAGTAAAAATGGAATGAAGAAAAGAGGGAAGGGGGGATTCTTGTATTGGAGTGGGGGGGGGGGGAAGAAAAGGACGGCCTTTCCAAAATCTACAAAGGATCAAAGAAAACGGGCAAACGAAAGTACAAGGGAAGGGGGTAATGAACGGTAGAGCGATGAGGTAACTGGGGTGAGACGCGGGCAGGATTGACAAGACATGAGAAAAGGCCGGAAAAATGACCCAGGGGAAAGAAGGGAGAAGTGGGGAGTGGCGGAGAGATGGAATCAAAGTTATAATGCAGCAAAGGGGAGTTGTGCCTATGTTCATCAATTCGAAGTGGGTATCACCACAACAAAGGCGGTGGTTGTACTGGACGAACACCCCCCTTCCGGAGCAGATGCCTGACATTGAGCCACATCCAAAAACTTGCCTACAATTTGTTATCAACAAAACCAAGGCAGGAAAAACCAACCGGACTGGGGCGACGAATGGTCATCCCGGGGAGGAAGTCCGTCTGCTGGGAATTGAGAGCAGGAAGCAAGGAGAGCCTCGCCTACCTAGTGTTACTGGAGTCAAAGGAACGCCAGGCTGCCCTGCTGGGTATACAAAGTTGACTAAGAAGGAAACTCGTGTCTCGGTGGAGGGGAAGATAAAGAGGCAGAGCTATGACGAAAATGAGCAGCTTCGTCTAAGTTGTAGGAAGAAGGAGAAAGCTTGAAGAGGAAACCTCGACCCCCATACCCTCCCCCGCCCTGAGGGGGTAAAAGACAAAAGGAACCCCCGAGAAAAGATTGGGAAGAAGACAAAAAGAACCCTGGCAAGCTGACCGCCCATCTTGACCCTCCCCTCCATCCCCCCCGTCCGTGCCTCCAGATTCCTACTAACTATGGACTAATGCGCGATGAGGACATCGCGAATGAGTGGGGGGAATGTGTCGGGACCGGTGGGTCCTGAATTAATTCCCGTCACTCGAGAACTTGGATTTGGCCGATTTGTGCACATCAGAGAAAATCGGGAGCGGTGACGCGACGCGAAAAACGAAGAACCAAGTATCAGAAGACGTCGGCGAAATAAACGGCAATTAGGCGACGAGGACGCCAGACGGACCATGGGAAAACAGGAACGTCACCCGGGGCGAAGCCGGAAAAGACGGGGGGGAACTAAGATTAGCGGAAAAGTAGGAAAAAGTCGGGGCGTCGATGGAGAATCACTGACAAAATGAAAAGGAGCGGGGGTGACGCGAGAAAATTCGGAAAGGACCTGGGATGCCCCAAAGGAGTCTTGAACTGAATGGGGTAGACGGTAAAAATAGCCAGGTGGCGCCTGCGGACGGCCCCATCTAGACCATGGGTCAGGATGGGAAAAATATACCAAGCACCGCCGCGGCAAGCGCCGGCGTGGGAGGCCGCGGGAAAAGTAGAGCAGTAGCGGCAAGGAGGCCTGGCTGACAATCCGGAATGGTCAGGGGCCAGCCGGGCCAAGAAAAATAAAGTTCCAGGAGGGCCGCAAGGAAAAAAGGGCTGCCCGGGGAAAATCGGAGTGAAAGGGACCTAGACGGGGAGTAGCGGCGGCCAAATGGAGCCCCTAGAGCCGCGGGGGTGCCCAGACTGCAGTCCGAGGCACAACGGCCATATGCCGGCTGCAAAATCAGACTTTGGGTGGGGTCCAACAGTTAGAAAGAGGGAAAATAATTGTTGGACACTTGTCCCAGCAGAAATAAAGGAGGAAGGAGAGAAAAGGGGGAGAAAAAGGAGGAAGAAGAGACAGAGAGGGAGGAAAAGGTGGAGAAAAAAATGCCGCCAGGTTGGGACTGCAACAGTAGGGACTGGCAAGTCTCAATGATGACCTCATCCCTCCAAGATTCTAGGAGGGCGGTCCGGATTGCAGAGATAAGGCCCTTGGGGCATTA